ATATGTTTAAAAATATCTTAAAACATCTAATAATAATTTTTAAATATAGCATCAGAACTGTGTTGATCGATAAATAATAAGTTATAGAAGAAGTATTTAATTTCGATGAATGCTGATATCGACTCCGTGGCGCAACGGTAGCGCGTCTGACTCCAGATCAGAAGGTTGCGTGTTCAAATCACGTCGGGGTCAAGAATTTGTTTTTATTTTTTTGATTATTTAATATGATTAAAAAAAATTTAACAACAAAAAAATATCTTTAAACATATTTATTTAAAAAATTGAGATTATATGACTCATTGCCGTGAGATTTAGTTAGAAATATTTTATACTGTATACTGTGTATATTGTTGTATTGGTACATACAAAGTTACCAACATTAAAAAAAAAAACACAGACTAATTGAGAACCTTCTTCTTTTTATTTATTATACACGTACACACAACAGATAAATGAATAATTAACAATATACAACACAATAAAACTGATAAATTCTTTTTAAAATCGGTCAAAAAAGAACTTTCAATAATTTACGCTATCGAATTTTTTTTTCTTCAGTCTGACAACGCGTCAATGCCATACGTGAGTGGTAACTACGAAGCACTGTATGAATTCATCAGACGTCAGAGCCAATGGTTCCAGTATGGGGACCGCGTCTGGGTCAACCACATTGACTACGTGACGCAGTGCACTTCCTTCGCCTTCTCCGCTATAGAGATAACTGATTGTAATCAAAAGAATGCATTTATATGTGAAATTGGTAAGTTAAAACTATTTACAGTCTAAATGAAATTGTTTGCTTTGAAATTTAAAAAAAAAATAACTGTGGTTTTTTTTTATTTTTTTTTTGTTAGATTTTTGTTTGTATTTTCGTGATTTTTTGTAATGCAATTTTTTTTTGTTTTTTTCTCGGATTTTTTTTTAAATTCTAATTATATTTAATTGCATTCATATGCAATTTGAGTCATTCGAAGTATTATAACAATTTAATGTACTTACAGATCCAAAGATATCAATCGACCCGCTATCATGGCGGGGGGACACGCTGGCCGTGGCGTTCATCGGCGTGCTGGTGGCTGCTGTGGTGCTGGTGGGTGCTGCTCTCATCTGCTGGTACTCCAAGTCAAAACACAGGTCAGTTTTTTTATAAAAAAAATATATTACTTTTTATATATCAAAAGGTGACAAACGAACGAGTGGCCACTTGAAATCTCTGAAATAGCGAAGCGACCGTTACCCATAGACAAACCCACCTGATGGTATCTGAATGTGGAAGGTTAACTAGCTTAGTAAATACTTATTTACCCTACTCTTGAAGACAGCCACGTAGCTGGTTACAACATGATTCTTCTTTATAGCAGACTTACGGTTACTTGAGACTTTGTTACCGCCAAAAAGTAACCTTTAATATTATATGTCTTCATGCATCACTTACTTCTATTTAAAATTAGACTCAGCCTTATTTGTGATAATTTAGAACTAACGCGGACTTGTAGACAAATAGACAGACAAAAAAAATCGTCATAAGTAGGTAACGCGAAATATTTTTTTTTCGATGTTACACAAAGGTTATGGCTGACTTCTGGTTATAAACAGGGAAAATGATAATTTAATCAGCGTGACATCAATTCAGCGTACTGCCAGTGAAGTGATTGTTATAATGTTCAATATAATAATTTTCATACTTTAGTTACATATTTTAGGAATATATTTATTTTTGCAGACATATTCAACGTTTGGAGCGACGTAACTCAATACGACAGTCGTTGCATTCAGTCCGGTCAATTGGAAGCATTAATGGTGGCTTCCCTGATAACACATACAGAAGGAAACTCGCACAGATGGTAAACACATTAAATATTTTTCCCATTGCTATAGAAAATTATAAAAATGCCAATATTAAGAACGACTTGTTCAAAATCCCTTATCACTGGTTTCTGAAACCAAAATCTGTATTTATCGTCATCCCTGTCATTTATTTGCAATAAAACAGAGATAACAATATATTTGAATTGGGGTTTTTCGTCTCAGAAACTCATGATTAGTTATCAAAGATTATACAACACAGATTGCCTTATTTTTACTTCAATAATTATAATATAATTTAAATATAAAATGTACATTTAACTATTCCAGAGTACACGATCAACTGACACACTGACTAAAGGCTCGGACTACCGTAAGATACTCGCTTCCACCACATCCATGGAATCTATGGAGAAAAGCCAATTCAATTCCTCCATAGAAGACAACCAAAGCTTTGATATCTACGAAGCACACAACCCCAGCAATGTCATACAACTCAAACACAGTACATTCAATAAAAAACCATCACCAGAATACTCCGTACCAGAAACAACCAGACCATACAACTTGGGGTACCGAAACGAAGGTTATAAAGAAAATTCCAGTACCATAGAAACACCAATGAGTGCTACAACAGAAGAATTACCGATAATTCATCACCCAGGTGGACTGTCATCACCTGATGATGAAACTTTATCACCGAATAACGATTCTCAATACTTCACATCGGATACATTACCATTGAGACCGTTAAATTCTGATCCTTTAACTTTAAAACGAGATTTAGAGAAAGAGGGAAAGATATACGGCCCGTACGGTACTCCTAACTACGGTACACAGCCAAAGCTGTCTTTTCTCATGGAGTTAAGGTCTAAAATGCCGGAGCAACCTCAACCAGGCGCCGTACCGACTACTACATTTGGACAGAGGACAGATACACCAGGTATTTTTTTACTTAATAATTCTTTATAATCTGTCACTAGTTTACGAAATACAAAGTCTAAATAGCCATGATTAAATTATAATAATTTATTCTTATTTTATTAATAAAAGGGAAAATACTCATGGTATGCAGTTGGCATATTCTTAAAACTATAGAAATAATATCAATTGATAAAAAAAAAATTCATTAATAGGTAATTTTTAATTCTAAGTATGAGTTTTCACTGTCGAAAAACTTAAACAAAATTTATATTTTATTATTAGAAACACAGATTTTAAGTTTTGTCGAAATAATTCTACAATGGAAACTCACCCTAATTAATACTTAACAATCCATGTGAACAGATCAGCAGCAGTTCTACGACGATACGATCGCGTCGACTCCGCAACCTCAGTACTACGACTCACAATCAGAGGCCCTCGCGAGTTACGACTCCAGTCCAAACTCCTCGAACACATACCCATCAGACCTGCACTCCAGGTCCAAGTCTGAAGCACTACTCGAAACTAATTTCGACTTCGATGAAACAACGCCCACACCAATGACCGAAGATAGCCGATCTTACAGTCAACCATTGGAAACAGCCATGTAGTAAATTTTTTAAATAACATTAGATTAGCACTAAAAAAACGTTTAATACAATGCAATCAAATATGATTACTTATAAAGATCTAAGTAATTTCGATCGTTGTATGAATTAAAAAATAATTGCAACGTAAATTAAAATAAAAGAATTTGTAAGATAATCATAATAAAGTGCAATTAACTTCACTAAGAGGCCTTAATAAAAATTCTTATAGAATTTAATGAATATTAATTAATTCTTTTTAATAATATATTTGTACTACTGACGTACGTTATTAAGTTTGCCGCGAAAACTTCTCACAGATCAATGTTGCTATCAATTATTATCTCCAATAATTGTGGTAAAATGTAAATATAAAATTAATGTTGTTTGGAAAGTTTTGAATAGCTTATTCAAAGAAAGTAGAAATCTTATTACATATGTCTTCGTTTAGGAATAGTCGTTACTAATTAAGTATCTTGAATGGCATAGTTGGGGTGGAAGAAATCAATGTTAAAGAAGCAAAGAAAAGACTGACAATATTTTTCACTTAATGTAACGTACTATTGCATTTATATATTTAGCTTCATTTAGTGTTCATTATTATGCTTCCATGCCTTAGTTTCCCATATATTTGAATATTACTAAAATATAAAATTTTGGCATTTATAAATTTTAAAAATCGCCTGCTTCAAATACTACTAACGTTCTTCTCAAATCTTGCTTCTGCAAAAAAAAGTAACACAGGAAAGCTAAACTATGTATTTTATAGGAAAAAAGAGCAAGATCTCATTGAAGTAAAACAATATTTTGTCGTTATTTATAAGCAATTATGTATTAAGTAAAGAATATTAAATTGTTTTCCAAGGTTGGAAAATTTTTGCTTCTTAAAAAATCAAAACAACGCTAAGGTAACGTTAATATTAACTTTAGGTGGATATATAGTGTGAGGCAGTTAAGTTAAATAATTTTTATAACTTTATAGTATACTAAGTCCATTTAATTTGTCCGTCCTTAGGTTAAATGAAATATATAAAGAAATATATTAATATACACTGTTTTTGTCATGTACTGATTTCTTTTACATTTGGTTTCAATACCAGTTTTATTTAATAATTAAATCACATCACATGTATTTTAGCATTAAAAACAAAGAACTATTTATAAATTTTATGAAAAGTTTGTTTATGCTTTAATTGTTACATTGTACAAATGTTTGAGACAAAATATTAATTTTAATCGAGAAGGTTAATAAAATTTTAATATTTTAGTATACATTGTTATTTTATTTACCACTGATGTCAAAGAGTATATAAAATGCTGATGTGGAAAAGTTCTAACAAAAGTTTCAAGGTGTAGAAAGAATTGGCTTAAAATTACTTTAATAAACGACAAAAATTAGCACTTACCATCAATATTCTAAATTGAAACGACAAGTGTCGACAAAATTATTACATGGGAAATATTAAATTGTAAAATAGGGTAATGGAAACTGATATATAGGCAACATTATTAATATTGTAATATTGGCAATGGGATAAGTAAATTGATCGAGACAAATAATCAATATACGCACTGTCCTACGAATGAAAGAGATGGCAATACAATTTTTATCCCTCATGACATTTTTCTGTTGGTACTTTGGCATTTGGATAAATATTTTATTGACAGCAGTTGACAATTTGACAAAGGTGAAGGCAGGGATGTTAAAAATTGAGATATAAAAATATTTATATAAGTTACGTATTCAGATGGATAGAATGAAGCAAAATATATAAGCTTGATGTTAAATGTTGTCTTTAAATTGGGGCATAAAATATCGCGGGGACAGCAAATAACAAGTTACTATATTTCTTTGTAACTTGCATTAATTTTTGTTGTGAGCTGAGAGTTGAAAAATATCGCCATGGATGCTACAGGCTCGATTAACAATGACGAGATTGAGACTATGGAAAATGAAGAGGAGGTAATTGATGATTCAGAAGAAAGGGAACTTGTGACGGACTCTTGCTCTACAAAAGTACTAAATAGTGACGAACAACCGACCGATAGATATCGACTTGTTTACATACTTTTCTATCTTTTCGGCATCACATCGCTTGTGCCATGGAATTTCCTAATAACTGCAAACGACGTAAGTAATTATTGTAATTAATTAAAATTAAATAGTACATTACTTAATTAAGAAAATTAAATATAATCATAAATATTATGCATACATTCTTACTAATAGGAGGATGAATCATAGTGGCTTAGTAATCGTTTATATGTAAATATTGAGATAAGCTTGAAAGTCGTTTAAAAAATAGTTTTCTAGACATGTGTAGATTACCTCTAAACCAGTTCAGAAACTGTTGAACTTGGATCAACAACTAAATTGACTGCTGACCGCACACAGACCAACCAATCTTAACTATCACATTTACATTGCCGAGCCAAAAAGTAAAAAAAAAGAAAAACCAAACCGATCCCAAGTTAGTGTACAGAAAATTTAAATCAAGTCTATGATGTTTTTGTCTTATGGAAAAACAAAACAAAATGCACTGCAGTAAAACAGGTTTAAAGGACTAAGGTAGAAGTCAAATTAAATGTCAAATGTCCATACGGTTATTGACATTAAGAACTTCATTAAAAATATAGAATCAATGTAAACAATTGAATCTTGTAAAAAATTAAGGCTAATATTATTTTTTTTATAAATCCATAAATACTTGATACTGGCCAATTTTGGTAAGGGAAAGCCATAAAAAAAGAAATTGAATGATTCTTTACATACACTAATTACTATATGTTTCTTATGTAATTGTAACATTGTATAACAAACTAGCTGACACCCCCAACTATTCACACAGAATCAATAATAAATAGGCTACATGTTTTTCACACTATGTCCCACATCTATGCCAAGTTTCAGCAAGATCCATGCAGCTGTTCTAAAAATACTTTCTAACAAACATCCACACATCCAAACATTCATATTTATAATATTAGTAAGACTTAATACATCTAGGTCACTTATTAACCTCTAACAATTTGATGTCAAGGCAAATTTGCATTTTCATTTTATTACATTACTATTATTATAACAGTATCTATCTTTTATCAAGGTTTGATTTAATAAATTTCATTATATATTAAATTATACAGCTTTATTTAATGAAGATAATAATTCTGAATGGACAAGCAAGAAAATAGCAATGAGATTTAATAATTTTTACATATATTCATAATGGAATTAAGATTTAAGTGGTATATTGTGTTGCATAATGAATTTATATCAACAGGTATAGAGCTTTAGAAACTTTAACTACCACACTCAGGTGTTAAGTGGTCACTATAGGAGTCTTTAGATTGTCATGAGAAACCTACACAAAATTATTATTTAAGCGAACCTTTAGACTGACTGGATTTCTGAGACCAAACTCTCTGTGTATCGTCATCCTGTCATCTTGGACAAAACAGATGGATAGAATAATATATTTTAAAAGGGGGTGGTTGGTCTCAGAAACCCTCAGTAACAGATATTTTACATTTATTTCTACAGATTGTTCTAATTTTTAATATATTTTCAGTACTGGATGTACAAGTTCCGAGATGTGACACCCAACAATGTGACAATGTTTGTGCGCAAGACGCAATTCCAAGCCGAGTTCACATCCTATCTCAATGTTGCTACCGCTATACCCAACTTGATATTCCTGGTTCTTAACTCCTTGTATGGACATTTGTAAGTATATTCTAATCTTACTACTTACTATGTTACTAATATTATAAATGCAAATGTTTGGATGGATGTTTGAAGATATCTCCAGAATGGCTGTGTGAATCTCGCTGAAATTTGGAATATATCTAGAACATAGCCTGAAAGAACACATAGGCTACCAATTAGGTTTTTTTTTTAATTCTGCGCTGGCGGAGTCTCGGGCGACAGCTAGTTGACTATAAAATTGAATTGTTCTCAAACCATTCTCAGTTGTTTGAGATATTTTTAATTTGGTTAAAATAAAACTGAAACAATAGACAATACTTTATTATTGTTATTTTAGTTTTATAAATATTGATTTGTTTTAAAAAATAATCTACTATTCTTTTTTTGAAAAACAACTTCTTTTTGTTTTGTTATGATAACATTTTGTTAATTTCAGGATACCGTTGAAGAGAAGATTGCAAGGATCCCTTGTGGTGGTGACTTTGACCTTCCTGTTCACCACTGCGCTGGTTCAAGTTGACTCTGATGAATGGCAGAGTACATTCTTTGTCATTACCATTGTGACAGTGGTTATTATGACTGGTGAGGCATTAATATTTTTATAATACTAGCGGTAGCCCGTGACTTTGTCGGAATAAGATAAAAAAGTATTCTATAACATGCTAGTAAAAGTCCGGCCAAAATCAGTCCAACGCTTCCGGAGTTTACCCAGAACAAATGTGGCTTTATGTACAGACATACATATAGAAATTTTAGAAATTGGTTTATCATTATAAGCATCGCAAATACATCATAGTGTATGAAGTATGATTTTTTCTCCATATTACATACATACATTCCAATTTTATTAATATATAAATGATGGTAAATAACTAAATGGCCACCTTAGAAAGCTTAAATATCTAAGTGACCGCTGTCCATACGACTTTAATAGTCAGTATAGAATTTTTTTCCTCATGTTTTTATTATAGTTATGAAAAGAGGTTATAAGTTTTTCTTTTTTACTTGAAATAATGACCATAAATAAAGTATACCGCTATATACTAAAGAGTGATATAAAAGGAAATTGCGTTCGATGTTTACTCATCACAGTAAACAAGATAGTAAATTTGTATAGAGATAAGAGCATGATTCAACTGACCTGTACTTAAATATCTGGGTCATGTCTATGCATAATATTATACGGTCTTAACTAGTTAATGCACCTCGATTTGTATACAAGGATATCAAAAATAACGGGTAAAATATGCGGTTATGTTAATTTTGGTAATTCCCGATAGGAAAATTATTGTTATTTGTAATTATGAGGATAAATACTTTTTTAGAAATATGTATTTAATATTCATATGAATTTCAAAGAAGTATTTTTAAATTATGTTCCACTAGCTTTTGCCGGCGACTTTGTACGCGCAGAATTAAAAAGTATGTGTTCTTCCAGACTATGTTGTACATCTATGACAAATTTTATCATCTGTTGAACTATTCTAGAGATACCTTCTTACAAACATCCATCCATTCATCCATCCACGGACCATCGACGGACAAAAAAAAACATACATACGAATTGAGAACCTCTTCCTTTTTGAAGTCGATTAATAATATAAGTGAGAAGTTTTAGACATTATTTAGGCTTTCATCACCAAGTCAAGTGTCAGAATGATAAGTAAAGGGGACATAAACGTCAACATTTTAATAAATCTAGTGTTGTGCCAGTACACCGGCACAGTGTCGGATTTTCTTCCTAACAGAAGTAATACTTGTTTCAGCTGGCAGCGCGGTATTTACTGGTGGTATAGTTGGGATTGCCAGTAAATTCTCCAAGGAATACATGGCTGCGGTTGTCGCAGGACAATCTTTAGGCGGAATCATAGCTGCGATTGCTCAAATTATATCGCTCGCTTTCAAAATATCCCCCTTACATAGTGCATTGATATATTTCATAATAGCCGATATTGTTGTTATTACTTCATTGATTTCTTATGTATTATTATATAAGATAGATTTCTTTACTTATCATATTCTACGTGGTAATGGTATAGCATCGAATAGACATAGAGATGTGTCCATGGTGGTTATAATGAAAAAGATATGGGTGTACGCGTTCAGTATATTTGCTGTATTCGCGATCAGTATGGCGGTGTACCCGGCCGTCACTGTGCTGGTTGAATCTCATCCTGTTACTAAAGGAACTGATTGGAATAGTAAGTAAATTTTTTTTTTTTAAAATATATTATTATTGTAGGTTACTGTTGCAAAAAAAAAGATTTAAAGTCTTTCAAATAAGACTGTTATTGACTAGCTGTCGCGCGCGACTTCGTACGCGAGGAATTAAAAAAAACTTAGTAGCCTATGTGTTCTTTTAGATTATGTTCTACATCTATGCCAAATTTCAGCAAGATCCATGCAGCTGTATTGGAAATTGAAACATCTATCCATCCAAATATTCGCATTTATAATAATAGTAAGATATTAATAAGATATCTGCGCCCCCTAGGTCTAACCTAGATCATAGGTTTGCAACGCCCTTGACACCATTAATTGTTTTCAGAACAGACTCGTACTATGTTCCAAACCGCAAAGATAACTTTTGAAATTAATAAATAATGGAGATTTCTATGTTTTCAGACATTTTCTTCGTTCCTGTGGTAAATTATTTGATATTTAACTGCGGTGATTATTCCGGTCGTCTGGCCGCTGGATTTCTGCTTAGGGTAAGTTAATAAAGCAATTATTATTATCGCACTCAGGTACTTATTATAGTTACTTGAGCAGTTAATTACGTTGATAATTGGTAATATTAATATATATAAATTCATGTTACTATTGTCATATTACTTGTAAAAAGTTACTTAGCTTCTAGCGTACTAAAATTTTTATCACTTGATAACCTGGATGTGATTTCGTTAAAAGTGGGCGAAGGGGAATTAATGGAGGAACTTTGAGGAGATATTCTCTTTCTGTGTATCTTCACTGCTGATTAAAGATAGGCAACGCACCTGCAATTGCTGATGTCCATGGGCAACGGTTGCTTTGCTATTTCGAATTCATGTGGTCGCTTGCTCGTTTGCTGCTTTGTTATATAAAAAAGCGTCGTGAGTGTCGATGGCTCAGCGGTTTAGGCACTTGACTTGTAATCTGCAGCTCCTGGGTTCGAATCCCGCCATGTACCAATATGTTTTTCGATTTTTGATTTACATATGTATATTTATCCGACGTTCTTACGGTGAAGGAAAACATCGTGATGCAACCTGCACATATCTGAGAAGAAGTTTAAAGATATGTGTGAAGTCAACCAACCCGCACTTGGCCAGCGTGGTTGACTATGGCCAAATCACCCCTAACTTAGGGTAGACTCCGAGCCCCTCGGTGGGGACCTATAGTAAGCTGATGATGAATATAAAAAAATACCAAAATATTGTTTTTTTATAAATTTTAGCCAAACAACCAATGGTTGATAGCAGTAGCCAGTGTTCTGAGGGTGATCGGTGTACCAATGTTGATGCTGTGCAACGCGCAGCCTCGCAAACACCTGCCAGTGCTCTTCCTCTGGGACTACGAGTACATCATCATCATGATACTCTTCGCATTCTCAAATGGATACCTCACTAATATTGTCATGATTAATGCCACCAGGTGAGTCGATGACACAAGTTTGTTCATACATGTCGTCTTTGACACTTTTGTCAATTTTTCACTGTTTTTTATTAAACTAGCTATCGCTCGCTGTTCCGTTTACGTGGAATTAATTAAAAAAAACTTAGTAAGTAACCTATGTATTCTTCCAGATTGTTACATACTACATTAATGTCAAATTTCAATGAGATTCTTTTAGCGGTTCTGGAAATCTAACAAACATCCATCTATACATCTAAACATTTGCATTCATAATATTAGTAAGATTAAATTGTTTATGTAATTGTTTAATGAAGAAGGATACTTTGAAATCAGTTCAGTAGTTTTTTAGTTTATTCGTTATATACATAAAAATCCTTATAAGTTTAGATAAAAAAGTATGTAGATTTTCTAATACATTACATTACTCTGGAATTATTTACCGGTTAAAGTTATTTTACATTTTGTTCGTAGTTTTAGAGTAAAAATGGTTGATATTCTAGTATTAAATGCTTTGCTATAAAATAGATAAGACATATTGATTCCTCATACTTATCAGTACAAACACGTGTTCAAGCAATAAAACTTAACGTCAGAGATAAATATATTCCTTGTTTATGTACACAAGTAATTAACCAATTGAAGATAACATTAATATAGCACAAACATCTGCGTAAACATTTATATAATAAATAAATCGAATTGCCTATTTGTTCAGAATTAGCAGTCGCCCGCAACCATGTCAGTATAGAATTAAAAATAGTAGCTTACTTCCCGTCAAAATCGGTGAAGTCGTTTAGATTACCCGGAACAAATGCCGCCTTGTGGACAGACATACAAACAGACAAAAACTTTTAAAACAAAAACATTTAGTTAAATAATAAACGTTATTTCTTATGAGAAATATATAACATAAACTTACATAAAAAGATGGAACATTTGTATGTTTGTAACTAACACACTCAAAAACTACACGGCCAATATAAAAAAATCGCCATTAATCCTAAGTAAAGAATAAAAAAGAATCTAAAAATATCAACATTTGCTTAACAAATATAAACATGTTTTAATTCCAGAGTTGTAGAAATACACGAACGTGAGAAAGCCTCTTCAGTGATAGCGACGATGCTGTGTGTCGGCCTCACTGTGGGCGCGGCTATAGGAATGCTGCTTGTACGACTATTGTAAGTTTACTGACCGCACTATACTAATTTAGAATCAATTCAATTAAATACGACATAATAAAAAAAATAATCTTACTTGTCATGTTTTAAAAAGGTTGACAGCTTACGTTCAAAAATATGAAATAAAAGTCTTAAATGAAGGTACTTACTCTTTGACGTCAAAGATTAGTTAGTAGGAAATTATCTTTTTGTCTATGGTTAAAACATACCATGACTTTGATGTTTAAGATTTAAATTTTAAACTTGAAACTAATGCAGTTGTATTATAGAAATACTCAATGAATATCTGCAGTAAAAAAAAATATTTAACAATTTACATTGTTTAAGCTTTATTTGTCATTAAAATAAGCTTATAGCTTTATCAAGGCATAATGATTGTTAAAAAAATGTATCCAATTTCTTTGTATCGTTAAATGAATAATAAAAAATGTATATTTTAAGGATAACTTAATAAATCGTGGTTTTAAAAAAATAATATTAGTCATAATTATGACATATTACAAAAAATTACTCCCAAGTTTCCTCAATAGTGTGTAATAAAACATATCTATACAATTAAAATAATGACAAACATAATATACTTATAAGTAATAAAATAGTATTTTGGCTTTAATTTTTTAAATTAAATTA